CCCATTCACTGGGATTGATTTTTCTCATCCTCCCAGAGTTTTCTTGGCAGCAGCTGCAGGATGTGGGATTCTCCTTTCCTGCCTGGGTGTCCCCATTGTTCCTGGAGGATTTTTGGCGTTTCTTCCYCRTGGATAAAAGRTTCATGGAGAACTTTGGGWTTTCCTTCACCARKCCTGGAGTGAGAGGAGAAGGSAAAAAKCTTCCAAAYGAAGTCAAGGGTGGATGGGATGYTGGGAAGGAGGGAACAAWTCCTTCTCAATATCCCATCTGAACCCAGTTTAAATCCATTCCTCCATGTCCAAAGTCCCTCTCCAGCTCTCTTGGAGCYCTTCCAGCAGCACCCAAAGGATCTCCAAGGAAATCTCCAAGGAGCAGAACAACCCAAGCAYTGTGAGGATCCTSTGGAGCAGGGTTTGGGGTGGGGGGATGARATCTGGAGCCTTTTTGGGCCCCATCTGAGCCCTCTTGGTGTTCTCCAGGCTCATTCCTGAACGAACCATCCCACCCCAAATCCCCACCAGGAGCTGCAGGAGCTGCAGGGGATGGATTCTCCTGCTCAATAAAAAAACAGAGGGGGATTGTTGAGAGCAGCCACAAATCTGTGCTCCCTGCTCTGATCTCTGAGCTTCAAGGGCTGCATGATCCCGGTCATGTTACCCCAGCTGGGATGTCCAGTCTGCACAGAAGAAAGCTGGAATTTGCTTTTGGCCACCGATGGCTCCGTTGCCTCCTCCAATCTGAGGATTTTTCCTCGAAAATGTGGTTTGATTGGAAATTAAAGCACGCCCAGGTTTTTTTTTTTTTTTTTTAATCTGGATTTTGATGTGCAGAGTTTTCCTCTCAGGAACATCCAAATCTTCTCCAGGTCCAAACAATCGGGATGGTTCGGCCCTAAAAATCACTGAGAGCACGTTCCTTGTGGGAATTCTCTCTGTGGGGGGGTTGGATTTGGGATTTGTCCCGAATTTCTGCCCTCCCAGCTCGCTCGGTGCCAGGCGTGTTTGCCCAGGTTTTGGTGGAAATTTGGGTGGGTCCTGGGCACAGAGGGGAGGGAGGGGAACCTGCTGGGGCTTGTCCTGGGCTGTCAGCACATCCACGGTGATCCCGAGGGATCCAGGAGAAGGAAAATGGGATGGTCTGTCCCTAAAAATGGAGATGAGGAGTTGTGGGGTGTCAGCTGGAATTGGGSTGGAAAAAATCCYATTCCTGCAGTGAGGGGTGAGGGAGGGCTGAGATGGAGTTTGGGCCTTGGGCAGCAACCTCTGGGCTAGTTTTTGAAAAAGCAACTTTTTAAATTTTAGTATTTAAATTATTATTTTAAAATAATTTTTATTTAAATTAATCTTATTTTAATATTTTTTATTTAAATAATTTTTATTTTAATATTTTTATTTGGATAATTTTTAATTTTACTATTTTATTTTAATAATTTTTGTTTTATTAGTTCTTATTTTAATTATTCTTCTTTTAATATTTTTTATTTATTTTAATGGTTTTTATTTTAATTATTGTTATTTTAATAATTTTTATTTTAATAATTTTAATTATTTTTCCGCTGAGGCTGCTCTACCTCGGTCACCCGTGTTTGATCCCAAAAATCCCAGAGCAACTTAAGACTGAATATCCCAGAATTTTAGGATGATTTGGGTCGGAGGGACCTTAAAGATCCCCAAAAAAAAACCCTGGGCGTGCTTTAATTTTGGCTGTGGATGCTTCCAGGGATCCAGGGGCAGCCAC